AACCACAGTCTGACTACAATTTTCTGTTTTCCTTACCACCATGCCAGGAGGCATTGTCTGCTGCTAGGTAGATGTTGTCAGAAGGTTTATTCAGATCTTCTATAAAAGGGATGAGGTATGGCTAGTGGATTTCAGTTGCATATTGGTGGGAATTGAGGCCAAGTCTGTCTCTTTTGCTGGTCCTTTCTTCCTCCCCCCTCTTCCTCACAAGAATTAACTCAGTTCTACCACCCTTCATGATTGCAGCATAGACCCCAATACTAGTCCTCTTTGACTTAAAGCTAGGCTTCAAGTTTTTTTCTTCCAGCTCTTCACCAGGTTTAACTCTGACCTTCCTGCCAGTATGATTTGGATTATAGATAATGGTGGCTTCATCCACAAAAACAACCCAATTCCATGCACCCCTCCAATTCCTCCTTCTCCTAGCAAACTCCTTTCTCTTTTCCTTCTGTCCTTTCCTCCAAAAAGGTTTATTTCTAGGTATCAGAAGCTTAAAACCAGCTTCTGCTATGATCTTATCCACAGATGTCTTTCCCAGACCAATATTCGCTTTTTTGGTAATGTCGTATAACGCTAAATGAGGCTTGGCATCGATAATGGACTCCACTATCTTTCTTTTTTGAGGAGTAATTGCTGTTGGTCTTCCAGATCTGGGGGCATCATGGGTATTTCCATCTCTTGATTCAGTTCTTTTAACTACTGATTGAACAGTTGCCTTAGAGATACCCATAACCTTAGAAATTTTATTATACTCCATATTAGTATTTTTATACAGGGCATAAATTTCCTTATTTTGATCTTCTCTAGCTCTTCTGGTATGTGGAGGGGTCATGGTAGAGGTGGTTGTTGTGGAGATGGAGGATAATATCATTGCCGCACCAGGGTATAAAGACTTTACGGACATGACTGTACTCAGTACTGATAGGATGCTGTCAACCACCGATACTTTTACATAGATTTTCTCAAGATTTTCCGCCATCCATTTCTTCCTCTCTTGAACCAATACAAGCTAAGGGCAGACTCCTTATGCAATCCTATCGTGATAGTTATTCCAATCCACACTTTCAACACCTTGGCAGTCGTATTTCTCTAAGGGCGTAAAGTCTTTTCTGTTCCTGTAGTCTGGCTTTGTCTGGAGACTTTATTTAGATTTAAACTCCGGTGCTTTTCTGCATATAAATTGGTATTCTGTGCTAACTGGTTGAATACTTCATCATCCCAGAAGAGGGAGAATAAAACATAAGGAGTTGGATCTCTATGTAAATCATCTGATAAGAGGACTTATTTTACAATTAAATCTGTCAGTAAACCTTTTCATCTTGAATGTTATTTCTGCTTCTACTAACTCTGAAAGCTTCTCAAAATAGTATAGAGATATTTTCCGACTTCCCTGGGCTTGATGCCATTTAAATAGTACCTGAAAAGGAAGAAAATCAGGTATTCCAGGTAGGGTAGCAGCAGGAACACGGTTCTTCTTCCACCTCTTCTCATCTACTTGGCTGTCATGTGCTAGTGTCTGGGGGGGATATGAGCCGGTCAATGGTAGAATGGGTTTCTGGAATGGACAAGCGGGATCAGGAAGGTTGGTAGATGAAGGGAATGATCTACATGAGTTACAGTATTATGCTAGCTTGTCTTCTGCTCCCTCTGGTCAGTAATTTTCAATTTTTTAAAAGAACAGTGGAGGTTAGTATATTGATAGATGCACTTGGTTGACATGGTTCAGGTAGTTGCCTGTTACGATATTCTGAGCTGTGAGGCATGGGCAGATTCTCATTCTGAATCCTCACCCGCTTATTTTGTTGAAAACTTAGATTGGCATCTAGCATTCCTAGTACTCTTCTCTTCAGAGGCATCTTGAGAAAGAAAGATTGGTCTAGGTAGAGATATGTGATAGGTACTGCTCCCTAACCGAGAACCTGAGAGTTGCGATGAGGTTCAATAATTGGCAAAGTGATTGCTCAACTAGGCTAGTATTCAACATTTAAAACTGGACTGAATGTCTCAGCGGCCGAGGGGATAGAGTACCGGTATTTCATTAGACAACGAGGTCGTCCTCTAGCTCTTGGCAAGGCCAACCCACACCACGGGGTGTAAGGTGTTGTGCCCGAATCATGTTAGTTCTCTTGCTGCTATTTTGACTTTAGAAACCCTTGAGGAACAAGCGAAATTTGTCCTCTGTGCCTTAGACAAATCTCGGACCGGCACTGCGGCATTATGTCTGGATCAAGCAGTACTCGCAATTGAATGACGTTTACGAACACAGCTGCCATCCCATACCACCAAAATTCGTCTTTTTTTTTGCTCAGATCTTGGTGTCATGCAACAGTGGTCGTGTTGTTCATAAGCGTCGCTCAATTGCGAGTAATCACCTTCATACCATTCTAGTGTCTGCTGCTCGGTGAAGTAATGATACTATTTTGTTATTGGTTGCATGGATGGTACTTTTCAGATGTATGATACTAGTACGGTACTTTTGGTTTGGCGGATTGGGGTTGGCTTGCCACTGGGACTTAATACTGTAGGCTGCTGATGGCGGGTTGGCGTTGTTGTGTGGTTTGTGCGGATGGATACACTGAAGTATCGAGGAATTGGGAAAGGGATGCGTTGATGATGAGGATGATCCTGTAGGATTAGATAGACGCGAGGATGGAATAGAAAGAGGAAGGCTTCTCTCCATATCTTACCGGAGCAGCCTCTCACAGTACCGCAGAGTACTCGTATCGGTATTAGCCCCAGGTCCCCACACCCAACTCATTCTTGTGGAGCTCACTTCTACTCGAGGACATTGGCCGTTAGGCACAAGGCACAAAGCCCGGCACTCGAGTAGAGATGGCTGACAGAATGTGTGCCCCGCATGACCGTGATGCCAGTACGAGTACGAGTAATGAATGTGCAGATACTCGTAATGTCGTGACGTTTGTGAAACGGACTGCTATTGCATTCCACCAATACTCTGAGGCTCTGGCCAACTTTTGGCTGTATGCAATAACCGCCGTGTTCACAAACGTCAGAAAACTACGACACCGTGGTTATCTTTGCTTTGCTTTTCTTTTCAAGGTATCCCTGTCCGCACTCGCGGTGGGACTGCAGCTGACAGCCGGTAACTTCCTGGTGTACTCGTGGCAGGCAAGAAGTGCTGGTACTTGATAACGGTGGTTTCGCAAAATATACTCGAGCATGGCGAATGAGCCGTGAGTATTACCGGTATATCTGAACACTCATACAAGCCCGCTACCCCTGCTATCGAATACTTTTTGCCTTCTACGAGTGTCGTGCAGTGTTTTAGTGCCCCATTGTGCGCCAGCGGCCGCGGTACTCGAACACTCGATTATGGCTGAAATTTGGTGCTGAAACTTGCATGCACTATCTGCAACCTACGAAAGGATGGTGCACTCGAACACTCCTAATTTTTCTGATGTTTGTCCAGCGTGCCACCAAAATCTTAGGGCTCCGGGAGATTTTTTGCCTATTTGCAGTAGCGGTTGCGTTCACGGACGTCAGAAAATTACGAGTACAGTACAGTACTGTACACGGTAGTCAAGCAGACCTACCGGTACTCGTTTTCCTGGAGCGCACTGAAATAGTATCCCTTGTATAAAGGGACAGCACAATAACCTTGGCTGTATGTGTATTCCACGAGTTCGATCGAAAGGTGCTGGATTGTGCTTGGGTGCCGGTAGGCTCCACCATCAACTGGCCGTAATCCTGCTGGTCCTGAAGCAGCTCCCCGCGGTAGAATATATTCCCAGAGGGAGTGTTTCCGAAGAAGCCTAATCCCGCTGTCGGCCAAGTGTGGCCGGGCAATCCCCTGTCTGCTGAGAGCCTGGTTAGTCAAATGTTCCTCACCAATCAAGCAATCAACTCAACAGCTACATAGATTCGCGATACCGTAATTGGATATCGGTGTGTCTGAGTCTCCGGGTATCTCCCAGACCCCCTGGGTCATTTTTCAGGGCAATCTAGGGCCGCATTCCGATTAGGAGAAGGAATGGAAATAAGTATTTGATAACAAGGATGGTGAGCTTGTATGGGCGCTCACATACGCACGGATTTTTCGCCATATATTTTGCGAACCCCTGTTATCGGACACATCTTGCCTGCTACGAGTACAGTACCATAACGGATGCAGACCCCTCTTTGTGGGATACCGAGAGCTTTGGAAGGAGGCTCTAGGATTTGCTAATTGAAACGGGAGGATCTACCTTAGGCTGATATAGCCAAGGATTCCCTATAATGTTCCTTCTTTCCCCTGGATGTCAGTCTTAGGGCTCGGAATGTCCCTTAAGCGCTACATCCGTAGGAAAATTCTTCTGAGGAAGTAGGCATACTCCTCTCTAGGCGATGCTTGAATGAGGAGGCATGCCCGGCAAACATCTGCGTTATCCCAGGACCAATAGTTATTGGTACCTACATATGAGTGATGGTGCCCCGTGTCGGCAGGGTTTGGGAGCTCCTTCATCACCGGAAATGCGACTTGTCTAAGTAAATCTCGGGATGGGGGTTTTGTCGTTTCTGAAATGTATCGTGTCATAGGAATACTGATGCATGCCAGGTGTTCATGTCCCGGACCTGTTTCGTAACCTAGAGTACTACCGTGGTTTTCAAGGAAGCAAGAGAGAAAACTTTCCAGAGATTGTGATCGAGGACAAGTTAAAGAAAACTCGGAGTTTCTAGCTCACAGGACCGGAGGATCCGGAGACAATAGTTTGTCTGGCTTCCCCGCTAAGGTAATCCATGTAACTAGTCTATATTACACAGTACTTTGAAAAACCGCGGGAAAAAGTGCCAGGAGAGGTTTTCCGAAGCGCCAAGCGTGACCGCCAACCAACTCTGAGCGAGACCCGCAACTCGCACTATGCGATGTTCCTTTCTGGCAATAGTGTATCCTAGGTGTCACTCAGTCCCTGGGCCGTACGATACATGCAGGTGGGGGGTGAGGGATTCACTCGTTCTATTGAGATACCACAGGATAGCGAAGAGGTTCCAATGGCCAGATTAAAGCGGTCACCTCGGGCGAGTCTTTCTATTTCAGTATGCAGTTTAGATATCAATGGCTTACAATAGCCTGGATAGATACCTTAATCGAGATATACGGGTACAGCAACGGGCTGGAAAGTAAATGTGATCCATGACCATTCATCATATTTTATCTCATGATTCCTCCCCAATCCTAAATTCATTATTTGCGATGGAGTTACCCTATCCAAAATGCCCTAGATATCAGTGAAATTTCCCGGTTCCTCAATGATATCCACATAATTATCATACTCAGAATCGAGAATATGGTAGCCTAAGACATGATCAATAATCATCACAGCCCAACTAGGAAAAGCCATACCATTTACCCCTTAGGGTAATGACTGCCCAATCGACTCCCTTGTCATCAGTTTCCTTCTCCACCTTTGTAGTGAAGGCGATAGCGCTCATAATCCCGTCACCAAACTTCTCGTTCAAAATCGCCTTGTATGCCAACCCGTAGTTTTGAACAATTTCGTAGAGACGGTAGATCAATGGCTCTCTCGCTAGACATCAAATTTTCCATTAGCCTTAAAACGTGGCCCGCGTGAATGTTTCTGCGCATACGAGGCATGTCCAGTGTTCTCCCCCGATCAGGAAATCCTTCCAAATCATTCGCGACCACCACCTCGTTCAATTCCAACGCTTCGGCGAGTTTCTTGATGTCATCAAGAGAGGCATGAGCTTGGCCATAAAAGATGGCAGCAACAGCAACCTCATCGCGCCCCAGGAGTTCACCGAGTTTTTCAAAGCTCAGTCCTTTGGCCTTTTTCTGCTTGAAGAGAATATCGGTTACGGGTGGGAGGTTCTGATAGGTCTCCTATCCAGTTATTAACATACCCCACTCATCGCACAAAAAGGAAAGGCAACTGCTGAATCCTTACGATAGAAGACATGGCACCTGTCCCCCTGGTCTCAGGACTCTGTGGGTTTAATGGAAGCGATAAAATCTTTTGTGTTCTGGGTGCCGGCGGAGAAAGCTATTGTTTATGCCTTGATAGAAGCAGCGGACTGTGGGGGAATTTCTAGCACAGCGGAAACGTTGCGGGGGGAAGTCAGAAGCGGGGCGGGTAAAGATGGGAAAATCCGACGGATGACGTCATCAGGAGGGTTGGACTCGCGGCAGAATGGCAGAATGGAGCTTTAGGAATTTATCAACACGGTTGACTGTTTTGGCCCCTGCAAAGACCATGCTATCGAAATGGGGTAGCAAAACATGGCGAACATTATTGCAATGGCTTCGTAGTAATGGGAGGGGATGATCGTGTACTGTACAAGCGGCATCGTGTTACGGCAATTGGCTGTATTATATCTTGAGAAACGGTCGAGGTGCAATAGCTCTGATGGAGCCGTAATACCAGAGAGGGATTTCCATATTAAACCCCCCCCCCATTTTCAGATCCACCAACCATCCACCCACCCATGGAGTATTCACACGTGGGCGCCGCCCACGATTCTTTTTAAGCAGTACCTGGTGCCCGATCCACTCCAAGGTTCTAACGAGATACTTTTGAACTCTCCCTATCTCTAGTGGTATCCTATTTGGGAGTATTGTAGAAGCTCTTCGCCCTCCGGGGGCTTCTTGAGCTGTTTACCAAACTTCTATCACCAATAATCACTCGGCAATCCGTGTAAACGTTCATGTCCGACAACCAAACAGTTGATTGGGAGCTTGTATGACCAAGTGATTCAATATCTTTAGTTACTATGTGGCCCTCCGTCAGATGGTGCCCTGGTTTAGTTTGAAGCAAATCTCGAATGGAGAAGATATCGTGCCTGTAGTTTGACTGGCTCACAATATCTCAGTAACTTACTCGCATCTGCCACCCCCGCCATGACACCAACAACCTCATTGGACCTGGAGCACAAGTACGATTCGTACAGTACAACGTATCATACCTCAACACAAACAAGGGTTAACTTGCCACCAACCTGCAACCTGGTGCCTCTTTCATAAGCCAACCCCCGGATCCTGAATTCTACCATCACCACCGCTGCCGCATAGCATTGCCACTGCCGGCTCTAATCACCGACCTGAACTTCTGATCTTCAGAGAAATTCCTGGAACCGTCGATTGTTTATCTTTCCCAAAAGCCCCGCGATGAACACAATCTTCCGAGGGTCATTCACAGCTACCCGAGCCCCCCCCCGGTTCAACGTGGTATGGCAAGCGAGCCATGTTGTTTTGTCCCCCAAAGCCGTTTAGCGAAGATTCCATGACGCAAGGGGCTGGTTTGATTCTAAGCCTTTATTGGTTTTGATTGAAGTAGGTATTGGTGGATCAAGAGATGCATAGAAGTAACTATCGCGCCGATAAGATTCATAGGAGCTCAGGCGACCTAGACCTGAAGAGGGGCCGCTAGGTTCTCGGCTCTAGGTACTTCGGGACGGCATTTAGAACGTTTCCATTGGGGTAAAACTGATAACGGCCGGAAAGTAAGCTCCTGAGGTGTAGGCCGGCGTCGGAAGCCGTATCTATGGGACTCAAGGGCTGTCGGTTCTGACAGGTGCTGACTTCTTGGGGGAATAATTAGAAATAGGTTATATACCAAATCCCCAATCCGCCTACCTCTATGAATTGTCCGGCACTCGTGCTCGTGGGTAGCGATCTTGCCCCGGATCATGGTGTATTCTGCTTTGCTCGAGCACAGCAGGATTGTGTCTTTTTTTCTCGAACCAGTGTCCTAGGCCAGGTGGATCAGCCTTGTTTGGGGCCACAATATCTTCTCAGGCCCTGGACATTTTTCCAGGAGAAATACCGTATTGTGCCATCATGGGGTATACGCATTGATACAGATGATATAGATATATTTTGTTTTTTTCAGGCAAAGGCAGTGCAGCGAGCAGGAACCAAGAAATCTCCTCCTTATCTTTTTTAACAAGTTTTTTTCCTCTTTCCTTTTATTTTCCACGAAAAAGAAAATAATTAAAATGCACTAGAAAGAAGAGCATGAACGTCTAGCCAGTTAAGAAACTACAGCCAGGGGGTTTCGATGTCGCCTTTTGATGCTGGGCACTTGCAGCGAAACAACCCCTCCCCGTCGTCCAAGCACGATACTAAATCTATGGTAGGTGTACAGGTAGGGGTTATGGGCCAACACGGACCCGGCAATGTTCTGCCATACCTCCCACACCACCATAACCCTAAAGCGGGGTGAAAACTGGTGGCTGAAGGCAGATTTATTCGAATTATGCCAGTCAGCCTAAAAAAAACAGTTTGTTTCCATTCCCTTTTTTCTATTTTCCTAACTATTACACAGAACTACACAGCTTCCGCAATTCTAAATAGAAGTCGATTACCGTAGCGTTAAAAAATTATTTGCACAAACAACCTTCACTGGAATATTTCACCACGGTGCCAATTTTCACACCTTCAACAGCACTAACACTAGTGCAAAAATGATACAGAGACCCATGACGGCGGGGCGATTGTGCAGGAAGCACAATTCATTATTCATTTCCATACCATAACAGAGCTCGGGATAGGAGCTGCAACCAGTGCCGATATCACTTGATTCAGTTCACGCATGGCACGAGAAAAAAGAAAAAAGTGGGAAAAAAAGAAATCTCACCCCAACTGTGACACAACCCCACAGACCAAAAACCGGGGCGCTTCAGTTACCTCTTGCAAGACCACTGCCAAGTCACCTTCACATGATATCACTCGCCAACCGTCTCAATCGCACCTGCTCCCATCGCTTCAAGGATTACTTACTCACGTTTAGAATGGGCATTGGCGGTGGGGATGCCAGCTGGATTCTCAAGCGACCACTACTCGCAATTACGAGCACATCATAGCCTGGTCTTCTTAGCACAGTGCGCAGGTGGAGCCGGGAGGAAATATGTGTGCAATTACCTTATGATATCTCTGGACCGGAACGTCTATCCGGCATCCGTATCCGCATGGCTTTCCAACAACACCAGCCAGAGACAAGTATTTCCAGGAATTAGATACCAGTCAACATGCAGCACGAACAGGCTTACCCTAGGGCCTGCCGGTTTCTGAGCACCCCCACAGAGTACGGGTAAGCGTCAAGGGGGACAGGGTCTCGGGGTTGGCTAAGCAGTCGTATTCTAAGGTGGTGTGGATCATTAAGTATTACTCCTGATATGCAGTCGTAAAATTTCCCAAACTGATAGTGTGCGGAGCGACCCACCACCTAACTTTGGACAGCGAGGTCCCCTGATTTTGTGATGTCTGGTATTATGACAATTGATAAGTTATGGATGGAGATATTGTTACCGCATCTAGTAATATAAGATTGTCTGCTAAATTCAAGCTATTGACTGACACACCTCCTCACCTGTCTGTTATCTTGACTCTCACTTGGTTAGAGCAGCCGACGCATACCTTTAGAGGAAGGAAGTCAATCTTGTTCATGTCAAAACCTCAAAACCTCAGTTATGGCGGAGAAAAGAGAGTTCCGACCCGTCGGTCACCACCCGGATATCTCGGTGCACCCGATATTTGTCGCAACGTTGAAATTTCAATTTACCGGATTTTGGGTTTTCACTGTAGCCTAGTGCTATTGCTGAACGCAGGTGGCGTACTGTATGGGATACTCCATACCTCCGGCCTTATCCGACCGATTCCGCGTGCTTTCATCCAAACTAATATATGGATGCATTGCCATTTCACCGCTCGAGCGCATGTCAATTCCTCGAGGACGCAAGCAATCTGCCTTGACGCATCGAAATTGCAGAGTGGGGGCAGTAAGTTACCCTTTGGAGAGCAGGGGAACCTCCAACACCTAACACGAGGGAAAATTGCCGGTCCCCGGTAGGCTCAATTTATGAAGGAGCTTTAGCTAAAGCAAAACGTTCGCCGTGATTGTAATTTGTTAATCGATCGCAGCAATCCGCTGGCTACGAGATCAAGAAATTCCGCTGGGACCCATTTCCTTCGGCTAAGCATCAAGTGAGGAGATTGGTATTGACTATCAGTATACGAAAGGTTTCTCTTTCTGAAGATCACCTCGTGCAATGTGTCCAATACCATAATAGGGGTGATAAATCATTAGCTAACAGAGCAGCTATTGATCAGGATAGCGTAAGAAAATATGTCAGGATTCAATTGCTTGCCCGGCTAATTCTAGGAGTTTTCGGAGACGGTAGGATACTGATACAATACAGTACAGGATCAGCAATGATAACGGCACTTAAAAGTAGCTCAGGGCAGCAGATCTGGAAAGTCTAACCGGATGTTACTCAGGCGCCATGATTCCCCCGAGACGTATCGGGCTGGTATGACAACGCCCAGTGATCACAGGAAATCACCATTTTCATGTGGACTTGTTGTACTGCTGTAGTGTAGAGGGGAGTTAATCCGTGAACACCGCCCTATTGGACAAACTACCAAGATACCCCTTCTAGCAAATAGGGGATTGCGGGGGGCGTTCGTGGAATTTCTTCCCTTCACAATCAATAGGCTTAGCTGCATAACGGAGCAAAAGGGTCAGAGTCTTTTGGAACCTGTTCCCCCCCTCATTTTCGAGAGAATCAGTTATTGGGTGCTCTGAAATCTATACAACCAGTGGCCACCCGTGGGTATCACACGGTATATCTGTTTGGAAACTGGGGGAAACTGGTGTGTTGCCGGTTGGACTCATAATGGGAACTGAGAGAGTTCAGCATACCGAGATACTTGAGAGTGTACCGTACAGTTATTAATATCTTCAGATAAGATGTGAAGGGAAATGGGGAAAAATTCCCTTGGCGACTGGGCAGTCTCCTGAACATGAGTCTCATGTCCATTCCATGGGCCTCAGTCACAGCAGTTCCTACAAGCACTAGTCCGAGTACTGTACAATTGAATCCCAATTCTTTCCCCCTACCTGATTCTGGACGCTTCTAAAAATGTCTAGCGCAGCGCAGTCACTTTTGCTTAACTGCTGCGAACCGACACCTTGCCGTAAATGGCCTGTGATTCCTACCATGCCTTCCCACAGGGGGCGTTGGCCTCGCTTATTTCTTTGTCCCTGATGCTTCCTCTCTTGTCCGGGTAACACTTGGCGTACCAAAAATCATGTTCGGGCACTTCCATTTTGCAAATGTGCCGTTTAATGTACAGCACTAGTAGAGAGACTAATTTATTTTGGAGTCATAGGAGGCAGTTTTCATGGCTACGTGGCATCACACCAGATCCCGCCGAGGCCTCCAGAGTGCTGTCTATTCTCGAGGACATGGGCGCTGAGTTCGTGGGAGTGCCAGGTAGGAAGACCTCGTGCCAAGGAATTCGGCTGCTGCTGGGCACCCCCCCCCCGCTGCTTGAGTGTGGATTTGAGGCGGCGTTCAAACATGAATTTTTTTTGGAGTAGCAACCTTCCTCCTTGAGTGCATCAGCCATCTACTGTACGAGTACAGTACTCGTGGACACTCTGAGTTACAGCTTTCAAGTTGCCGGCACTCCACCTCCGAGCCTAATTTAACCGAGCTAAATTAGGTTAGGCGTGTTGCAGTCATGAATGGCGGCCTGTTAGTGTAAGTCAACGGGTCTCCAATACAACCGGGAGCCCAATACTCTCACCTTTGGAGAGAGCACTGTAAAAGGGGTTGGCATATAAGTACCGTATGTTTATCACGAGCGGGTTAGAATTATGGCTGGCCGTTGGTAATGTTTTGGAGTACAGTACCGGTACTGGTATGAGGCCGATGAATTGTGCGCGGGATCAGAGAACTATGAGTGGGGTGGTATAGGATCGCTCTGCAGGGCCAATTTCGAAAGTTCCATTGTGGTACCGGTATGCCTGGTTCCTTGGATGTGCGTGCTCCTGTGTGGTACTGGTAATGTACTCGAGCAGTGTACGGTACAAGTACGGTACTTGAGTATAGGCGCAAGCACCAGTACTTGTAATGAGGTACAAGTACTTCGTCCCGGGTCACGAGTACCCGAAAACAGGGATGAGAGAAATTTACCGGTGCTCGAGTATGGCAGAGCATCAGTGCGTGTCTGAGCACCCGTTCAAAGTGGACCCCCCTTGTTTTCGGGTACTGGCTCTCGTGGTCTGGGACAAACAGTTGATACCGGTATTCGACGTATCAGACAGTATGTTGTGCAGTGGAGCCAGTGGAACCCTTGCCATTTCAAAGAAACCAAAGAGCAACCGGCTGTGCCGCGAGGAGTGCTCTCTGTGCTACACGCAGGGACCTCATGCGCCGACCATCGTACTGGGATCGGGGGGGGGGGATTTTGACCGCACTTGGCCGATATGAGGCTATTTTTTTTTCCCCGAGGGCAACGTCGAGTTTCCACGGAATTTGGGAGCTCGGTTATGCCCGTGGAAAATATATCTCCATGGAGGGAAAGCCCGATGGGGAGTGAGGGGGGAGGAGGAGGGGTAAGCCTGAAGTTGACACGGTGCGAATTGTTCACTTGCACATAACTTACGAGCTATCATTATTCTCGACAACGTGGCCATGTGGATAAGCCCGCCCCGATCATGTCTCTGATCCAAAGCTGCTACGAGTACGAGTACCGTACAGGTAACATGGCTTGGCTGACCATAATCCAGCTTACCACCATCATTGCGCTGCAGTCAAAGAAAGGCTGGAGGTGACGGGTTGGGTCTTGGTCAATTACTCGAGTACACGAGTAATTCAATTTGATTGCCAACGATCCCGGTACCGGTGGAGTCTTGCCTCGATTGCAGGTGGGACCCTCGACCCTTTGAATCCCTCGCTTCCATTCGGGAGAGAGTAGGCGGAAAATAAAGCCAAAACTACGCATCCGTGGAGTCACGCTGCTAGCGGATGCTAGTCATGCTGTTTGGAGAAACAGTAAATTAACTCTGGCGACGACAAAAGTCTGAGCAAAGTGCAGCTAGCGACACTCCATCTTAGAATGCCCGGGAGCACGGGGAAGGCCGAACGAGGAAAACTCGCCTAGGGCCTGCTTGGTCGCTTCCGGCTCAATGGGCTGGGACGCGGCTTTCTCCGAGTGCGGGAGGGCGGACTTTATTCTTATTGTTATTATTATTATTATTATTTGTAGTGAGTGGTGTGGAGTTGTTGGGGTTAGCATGGGTCTTGCCCATCGTAGCTTTCTTACCGACGATAGCTGGGTCTAGCAGGAGAGAGCGCCTAGGTTGGCGCGATTGGTGGTGCATACAGTAGTGCCTAGGATGCCTATGTAGCCTGCATCATTATGCATCCTTAGGTGATGGTAGCGGAAAAAAATTCTACTGTGATCGCAGGCCCTTTTTTGTCTGTGTCGCAGGAATAACATCCCTCATCCCGTTACATTTGGCATCGGGTACTACCTTTTTTCCAGCGAGGATGTGATACAAGAAGGTTGCGGGTGCGCTTATGTGTGGAAGGGGGAAGATGGAGGGAGGGGGGGGGGTGGGAAGGAGGAAAGCAGCCGAGGAGGGGTGGGAACGCCCTCCGATTTCAACGTAAAGTGATATATTGTGCGTTGACAAAAGTAACCGCGATTCAACAATCGGTGGCAACCCACTTCTCTTTATCACTCTGCACTCTCAACAGTACCTAAAAGAATTGCTCTAAGTCAACCAAGAAGAAACCATTCTGCTCAATTCTTTTTTTCAATAAACTATGCCTCCTATTCTTCATAGTCATGCCAAAAAACCTATTCTCTCCACACATCTCTCTGAGTTTACCAGGGGGAGGATTCTTGGGTTACATGAGCCTCAGATGAGATATTAGCAAATTTCCCACTACCTTAATATCCCCTATACTACTGTCAGAGACACAATTGCAAAGAGACATCAAGAGGGCAAGGAGAATAAGGGTAGAGGAAGACATCCTAAAACTACCAAGTCACAGGATTCTGCTATAGTGGAGGAAGCTCTTAAAAATCGCCATACTACCTATTCTGACATTGCTGAGCAAGTTGCTCTCAATATTTCTAGTAGGACAGTAAGGAGAACACTTGAATAAAAGCATCTTAGAAAGTAGGTAGCATAAGAGAGAGTTCATTTGGATGAAGATCTAGCTCAAGAGAGCTTGGAATAGGCATTAGCTCATAGGCATTGGACAAAGGAGATGTGGAGAAGGAGGACAATATGGGGGGATGAGGTAGCTGTGGAAAGGAGAGGAGGAAAGAGGAGAAAATGGGTTTTCAGATACCCATATGAGAAATAAAATAAGGATTGTGTTGAACCTAAGGCTAGGAGAGGGGAGAGAGGGATTAGCCAGATGATGACTGGTTGCTTTTATAGTCAAACTCATGGTCTTTTTTTGCCTGTTTTTCCTGATCATTCTTCTGCTAGGGGTAGAGTTACTGGGAAGTCAATTATTGATGTTTATGATCATTATGACTTTCTAGGGATATGGGAGAATATCAGAGAAAAGGCTGGAGAAGAAGAGGTATTTTTTATTATTGACAATGCTAAGACTCACTTGTCTTTTAGGAGATGGCTCAGAGGGCAGGGAATTACACTGATGGAAATTCCTGCCTATTCACCAGATCTCAATCCAATTGAAAATATTTGGTCTCTGGTGAAAGGTAACCTTTACAAGCACTACCCTGAGCTATATCTTATGAAGGGTGATGTCAATGTGGTCAAGAAGGCAATAGTAGAGGCCATCACTCATTGTTGGAAACTTCTTGACCCAAAGGTTTTTGATACTTTAGCTGGATCAATGGTGGATAGAATAGAGGCAATTATTAAGGCTGATGGATAGTATACCAAATATTAATTTCTACTATGTATTTACATCTTTTAATTTTTTTTTTTTTTTTTGGTTTTCATGATAGTGGATTGGTGGGTGAGTGTGGTTGTCATCGCGGAATAGTTTCCTCTGTTGAATCGCGGTTAATTTTGTCCACGCACAATATATCCCCGCCAGTAACGTAAATTTACTCTTACCCTCGCTTCTACTACCTCAATACCCCCCCCCATCAGCAAACCCTAGATGCACACATTATCCAGTACTCCTACTCGATACTTTTACACTTGCCTGCAGTAATCAACCCCCTCCCGAACAGCCACCGGCTCCCAGGCTGGCCGCCGCTTCTTTTCCCGGAAAGTCGAAGTCCAAACCAAGAGGAGAGATAATCCGCATATTGCCGGGGTTTCCAAGCACAAAATTGCCGGTGATCGAATCAGTGATCGATACAACAGCTGCGCGGGACTGATCCTACCACCCAGGTCCTGCCGCTAGGTCGGGTTTTCGTTATATATCACCACCCTCTACCACTACCCGTGCTACAGTCTATGGCCTGGGCTTCGCAGTGTTCTCCCCAACTCATCGCATAAACGGTCAAATAGCCTCCACCCCGTGGTTTTTTCTGCACACCTGGGAATTGATTACCGGTAAGTTCAGGCTCTTTTGCTCACGTCGCGTGTCTATTTCGCTTCTTTTCTTTTCGGATACGGGAAGATGCCCGCGCCTAGTTCATGTTTGCCTTACGAAGACTAAATGCATGTGTGTGGATGTGGGCCTGTTGTAAACGAGGGAAGGGTCAATCACCGCATTGCGATGCAGAAGGGGGGGGAGGGGCGGGGGGATAGGGGTGATCGTTGTGCTGGATTTAGTGTTCCCCGAGTTGTGGCTACTGCGGATTGTGGAGGCGGAGAGGGGGGGAGATGTGTGGTGGTGGTGGGCGTTGTGAAATGTGGATTTCCGGGATATGCCCAATCGGCGTTATCGGTATCCTTGTCGAAAGCGCGATACCCAGTGCAGTGGGTCACCGAGAACATTCCTCTCTCTTTCCTTCCTGCTCCTTCCCCTTCCTCGGCTGTGGTACGGCTTGTAGGGGCGGGGGACGCGCCTCTTCCAATAGCATCGCCCCCTTTTTATGTATTCTCTACTCGTACTCTTCTCCACAGTTGCTAGCATCCCCTCATTCACCCCACCCTGATATTCCGCCTCTACCCAATCAATTGCTACCCTAAAGCACTCTGATCATTCAAGGATGCTTGAGTGATGGCAGGAGCTCACTTCTGGATGATGGGAGCCATGTGTTTTCTCATGAACCGATGGAGTATAATTTAAGCCGCATTTCTCGAGTCGTTATTTCTATTGATGGCTGCGCAATTGGATGGCCTGTGTTTGCTATTTAGTGAACTTTCTCGGTTACTGACCATCCTCCCCACATCAGAGCCATCGCAAGCAAAAGTTCCTCTCTCTAAGCTTCTCAATCATCTCAGACATCATCATGGGCGTCGGTGCCGAAACAGCTACGAAGGAGAGGAAAGTTCCTAAGATCTCGGTGCACAACTTTGCAGAACGCAAGGATGAGATCGCGAAGGAGGTCGTCCGGGCTGCCGAGGAAAATGGTTTCTTCATCCTGGAAAATCAGGAGTCTCCCTCGGTCGCTGAGATAGAGGAGATGTTTGCGTTATCGTAAGTCGTTTGTGCTGTTTTTCAAGACAAGGGACCCCTTGCTAATTCGTCTGAGTAGGGAGCGGTATTTTAGCCTCCCCGTGACTAAAAAATCGGAAACACCATTTATCAAGGCTGAGAATACCGGTTGGGAAACTTGTTCCCAAGTTCGCCCGTCGACTGGACTACCTGATCAGAAAGAATCCCTCCAACTTCAATATCACCGTCTCGGTGACCGGACTTGGCCGCAAGACCCATCAATCCCCGAATTTGCTCAAACCGTGGCCCCATTCATGGAGAAAACCCATGCACTCTCCATGAATATCCTTAGCATTTTTGCCCTCGCCCTAGGATTTCCAGAAGATTTTTTTGTAAAAGCTCACGACGTGAGTCGCACTGATGCTCAGTCAACCTTACGCCTTCTTCACTACCACGATATCACCGGAAACCAATTCCCGTCGAGCTACTGGCGTGCGGGGCCCCATACGGACTACGATTGCCTCACGATGCTCTTCCAAAAGACTGGTGAGGACGGGTTAGAGATTTGTCCTGGGAGGGAGGCCCACACAAGCTTTGGGACGGGAGACCACTGGACCCCAGTTAAAGCCAGGACCGGTGAGGTCGTGTGCAACATCGGGGACATGTTGATGGCCTGGAGCGACGATAGGTTCAAGAGTTTGTATCACCGGGTTAGGTGCCCCGGCGTGGGTGAACGGCAGACGTCCAGATACAGTATCGCGTTAGTGCCCACCCTCCATATTCACCCAAGCAGTGATTGACGTTAGAGCACAGTTACTTTAACCAAGCGAACAAGGACGTAGAAATACGGGGCCCGTTGGGGAAATACCCTGTATTGACTGCTCACAAGTACATTCTCGACGCAATTAAGCGCAATTACGGCGAATTTGAGAAGGTGGGAGCCCTCACCGCAACCTAGCCTAACTCCGCCATCATTTTTCCTTAATTTGCTCTCTTAAACTCAATTCGCTTTTGCTGTAACTTACTGGGTATTCTTATAATCGGTGTCGTGGACGGGTTACTTCCATGCATGGTGTGTCACAGGATCGGGGGTGTTGCTCGGATTAACAATTTTTCATTTTTTCATTTTTTTCATTTTTTCATGACGGTTTGCTTCTTTTTTTCCTCCCTTGTACGCTCGATGCATGTTTTTCTAGGACTCGGGTTGTGCTTTTGTGACGGGAATTCCTGGAGCCTGGTGGGACGGCACGCAGGGGGTTCATGTGTACCGTAAAAACTCATTAAATGAACTATCGTGGATCTCAACTGGATCGCTGTGCTAAACTAAACCATAGTGGGCTTAGATGGGTAACTTAAGTTAACAAAATAACAAATACCAGTTCTAGAGAGCTCTTCCTCCCCAAACCATACCCTGCCTGGAAAAATACTGTTCACTTTCCAGGCGTTTTTGTTTTGGATTGCTAAACTTCAAGTCACGATCTCCAATACTGAGTTTTTACGGAAGCTTTTCTTGCATTATCCGGTCGGGAACGAGTGATTTGTAATCCAGTTGTCTGGAGTTAGCGAGTGAGGGGTTGTGATTTTTGTTATTTAGTATGGGTGAATCTGCTGCGTATCATTTTCATAATTTTATGAGAATGAGTTGGCAATTGATTACTTGTTGGCCAGAGGATTCGAATCACTGAAAGAGAGGTTGGACACAGTCGTTAGGCTCTTGCCTTCATGTAGCGCACAAGTCCGGGAATTGTCCGTTTGTCGCTAGTGCTATGATACAAGTCACCATTGATGAGTAGCACATGCTGTATTGGGGGATGTGCTCATTGGCTGGCATTTTGATGGACTAAATAACCCTCCACACGATACACGGTAGAAACTTGGATAATTGGACCATGTGCAACAGTACTGGACATATGTAGTGGAAAATTCCCTGTTCTGGAAAAGGGGGAGGAATATAAGGAGAGAGCTACTTGTATGATACTCAGCTCTTCCGAGACCAAAAAAACGAACCGGCAAACTTTACCGGAAGAGGCAAGTCTAATGGTGAATCACGGCCCAATCATTCGATGTTACACGATAAATTAGGGCATTTGTATGTATCATGGCTCGGAGCCAGCTAGAACTGGTCATGTCAAGCACACGATGCCCCACGCCAATATAATTCCAGCACCAAGTTCATGGTGGTAAAGGATCAACAACACCGCAGCACGGGACCCACAGAGAAAGCCTCCCGAGCCGGACTCTGGGCGGTATAATGCCGTGGTGGGGGGAAACGTAGGCACTGGCAGTTCTGGTGAGTAGGTTTGAGTTTGTCTAGGTGTTGGGGGCGGGAGGCGGGGGTGTTTGTGAACCATCGCCCTTGTCTCGTCCGCCGTTTGATGAATGATATTGGTTGTGTTGGATTTCTTGGGTTGGTTGCCGCTCTGGCGACAAAACAAGATATGCGGTGGGTTGCGGTGCGGTGGGATGGTAATGGCTTTTTTAAGGGTTCAGGATTTGTCGTGGGGTGGGTGCTTGGTTCTGGAGCGGGTAGCGTTGCTGTACTTGGGTGGGGGTGAGGGTGGGATTGTGGAGTGCTATCGTAGTGAGGCGGTGACTGATGATGGGGGTTGTCGGGAGTGGTGGGGTACATAGTAGGAAAATTGTATGGAATATCATGCGCTATTTTGGTTGTGAAGGAGGAGCGAAGGAAGATCTCTCTAGCCTGGGGCTCGGTGGGTATTGTTGTATCATATGGGGAGGAAGTTAGTTTATAGGTTGTCTAAAATGGGTACCAGCAGTTGAGTTGTACAGTGCTGGGTCGAGATATCTCTGACGCGTTTTTGACACCAAAAGTCACCAACTTTGCCATCTCTCACAGTACAATGGCTATTAGAAACCTCCAAAATTCCGCCGAGCATCATCAAGTCCATAGAAAATATGGGGATCATAATAGGGTAGAGAAAATGTCAATTCGGTGTCCGGTGATGGTTAACATACACCTTTTTGTATGGAGCCCAATACAAAAATTTGAGTTACTTTCGTACTAGTTGACGCAATTGTAAATAATGCATACAGCAGTGATTCCTTGTGGTTTCGGCTCTAGATATTAAAATGTATCATGATGATAATTGCAAATCTTGTAGAATTATTTACGGTGTTTTCGGGAGGGTAGTGTGGAGAATTAACTAATCTAAAATGTCTAAATTGGTTATGAATTGTAGCTCAGATAGAATTTTAGTGTAACCAATTGCTAAGTATCTTGAGAATGCCTAAGAGATTCTCTGACACTGTTATCATAGGATGTAAAGCATCAATAGATATGCTTCTAAGTAGATTGTAAAGCTGAGGGAAAGATAGAGTCATTATTCAACTTGTAGTATAATAAGAAGAGTGTTTCGGTAAGGCTTAAGAGACTAAACCCTTAAGAGATTGTAGGTTGTTTAAATACAAAAGATTGTTGCTAGGAAATATAATAACAATATCCTATTTAAGGAAATTATACAACAATGCTACATAGTAGTAAAAGGTAAAATAAAGTAAAGTCTTAAAGCAGAAAACTTAAAGCAATAAGATAAAATTAATTAAACAAGTAATAGAATTCAAATAAGATAAATTGAGTAACAGCTACGGATATAATAGTCCAGTAGTAATAGTAGGATAAGGAAATATCCAAGGAGGTAGTAACGTAATTAACGGTGATCCGGCTCAGTACCTGGATCCTGCTCACTGCCAAGAGTGTCTAAGACACTACCCCGCACTCAGGTAAATACTATATAGATTAGCCATCTCAGCCAATAATTGAAAACCGTAAACTCACCATGCCTCGGAATACTGATCTTAAGAAAGACAAAAAGGAAAAGACCCTCCAGGATGCCATTACACATTACAAAAAGAGCAAAAAACCCTCCATCAGAGCTAGTACAGAGAGATTTGGGGTGGCATATTCAACTTTGCGGGGAAGGCTTAGGGGGGCTGAGGATAGGGTGAAGGGGCATAGTAGGCTGCAAGCCTTAACAGAGTATGAGGAAAAAGCGATTGTGAGGTGGCGCGCGAAGGTTGATGAGTGGGGTCACCCAGCAACTTTGGCTGTGGTGAAAGGAATGGCGGAGGCAATGCTTCAGCGGAGACTTAAAGACCGAGTGCTAGGGAGACACTGGTTGTCCCAATTTCTGGGTAGATACAAGGAGCATGCTTCGAAGCTAAGTACTCTGTTAGATTGTCAATGGGCATTTGCGAGTAATCCACGTGTTCTGTGTGACTTCTTTCAGAAGGTATAGCCCCTCCTGAATCTGCTGTTTTAACTATCCTACTAGCGAGGAGAGTTACTGATAGTATATATAGTTAAAATAGTTAATTAAATTTTATCAAATTACCATAGACAACTTCTACAATATGGATGAGAAAGGTTTTCTCATAGGTGTTCCTCTACGTTGTAAGGTTATTTGTGTACGAAGCTGGCATACCCCACAGCTCACGATGGATGGTTCACGCGATTAGGTTACTGTTATAGAAACTATTTCCGGGGATGGAGAGGCACTTACATCTTTTATTATTAATAAGGGTACTGATCACTATTCTGGCTGGTATGCGGGGCTAAAAAAGGGTGACCGAGCTCTTTTTGGAGTATCAGAGAAGGGGTGGAGCAATGAAAAGTTGGCTATACAATGGCTTAGCGAGATTTTTGAAGTCGAAACCTGGAAGAAGTATGTATTAAATCATCTACTAATAGCTTATCAAGATAACTAAACAATGATTAGGGCTGTTGGAAGGTATCCGTTACTTATCTTAGATAGCCATACCTCCCATTTCAATTGGGAATTTTTTGAGTTTTGTTTAAACCATAAAATTATTCCCTTTTGCCTCCTGGCACATTTTACCCACCTCCTCTAGCCCTTAGATGTCAGTCTCTTTGGACCTTTGCAGCGCTATTACAGCACTGCTCTTGATACTTGGATGTGTAAAGGCATTCAAGGTAACTTCACCAAGGGTGACTTTCTTCCGTAAGTTATAGCCTTTCCCCTCTCCTACCTCAATCTATCCCTGAAATATTTTTACAATCCTACTCCTACATTGATTATTAAATGAAATTTAACAAAGATATCAATACCAATTTATTTATATAGTGTATTTCTTCCAGCAAGAAAGCTTGACTTTACCCAAGAAAATATCCTTTAGGCGTAGGAGGCGGTCGGGATTGTACCTCTGAATCCTCGACAAGTGATTCAGAGTGAGACATGGGATAATTGTGCCACATTGCTACAATCTTCCCGGGCCTCTATTTCCTAGCGTGTTCCTAATACTCCTCCTGCTGTTAGTAGGAAAACTCGTACTGCTATATCTCTTGTTACCCGCAATACTCCTAGTTCTAAAAAACTAAAGTCTCTTCTTGGAGAACTCAATGAGGGTTTCAAGAGACCTATGCAGAGAATGTACTAAAGGAGGAGGCACACCGGCAATACCAGGAATTGGTGGGGGCAAGCAAAAGGATAAACACTAATGACTGGAGGAAACTTACAGAGGCCACTGTCGTTACGGCAGAGGTGGTATTTAAGCTTCAAGAGGACCGTGAAAAGGGTGATACTTTAAAGGCATCTCACAAGGCCAAGAAGCTAGGGAAAGCTCTTGACCTTATTACTAGCAGTACTACCACTGGTACTGTTATTTCCAAACCTGCCTCAAAGCAAAAAAAAATGTTATCTATTGCCTTACCAGCTGGGAACTATCATCTGACTCCAGTACTTCTAGATGGTGATAGTGACTGGGAGGAGAAAGAAGTGGATAATAGGAGTGGCAGTGATGGAAACGAATACCTTGGGGCAATTAGGGCTATTTCTAGCCAGCTTGGGCAGTTGCAGATGGGAGAAAATATCTCACTAGGAGTTAGCAGTAATATTTCTCAAAGTCCTTCCGTATATATTGGGGTTTGGAGATCAGGATGTATTCCTAGCAATTGGAATTAAGACAGGGTCCAAGCACAGAATTGCGCTATAAGGACCGAGCGGGATCTACGTACTGAGCTGTTTCACCGTAAATTACGTTAGTATAACAAAGGTATGAATGTAAAATGTTTACAAGATGCAATCTATGAGCTGAGTACATTAGTTAAACAGGTAGCTATCTCTACAGGAGAGACTAGAGAGTTCTATCAAACAAAGGTAGGCTTCAAAGAGGTGTACAGGAGAAACAAAAACAAGTAACCATTCAACCATGTATGTTAGAAATACTATCTATTAGGATCTGTTACTTCTATTATAGAAACAGGTAGTCTTTAAATATACAAATTCATATACATCTAGAGTCTATTGTCAGAAGTATTTGTGAAATAC